TCTCTCTCTCTCTCTCTCTCTCTCTCTCTCTCTCTCTCTCTCTCTCTCTCTCTCTCTCTCTCTCTCTCTCTCTCTCTCTCTCTCTCTCTTCCTTCAGTTGACTATCTCGCGATGAGGAACCCATGGCTGATCCCAGACTTTGAACGTCTTCGTCGGCGTTTTCCCCTTTGCCTTCAGCAGCCTCACCTTGATGTAATACAAGGTGCCAGCCACAACTTGACACCTGGCAGACACGACGCGGAGCAATTTCACTGGCGGCTTTCCCGCCTTCGCCAATCTCTTGTTGTACTCACTTACCGCCCACTCCGCAATCTGTCGAACCTCCTGCCTGCGGCTCTCAGCGCAGCGCCCAATTCCACCCGCCTTTGGGGCTCGCGGAGGCTGCCCCCTTGCCTCAGCGGGTGTGACCAACAAGCTGGCGATCACTGCCGCTACTAGCACAAGAAGCACGCCGGCGACGACAACGTGGCTCCCACGTGCTCGACGGGCAGCCGCTACTCTTCCCGCTCTCGCCATGTTTGGCGCGTTTGGCGCGCTTGTCACTTTTTCGCGCTCTGTGCCACTCAGCGCCGGCCTCCTCCCGTGTCCTGTGACGCGCTGAAGGGTCAGCGGAGCACGCAACTGGCGTAAAGACCCTGCCAACCCCCGGCGATAACCCCCGCCGCCCAGTGAAGAACACCGACAACACAGAGAACTTTCCTGAACGTATTTGGCCGCAATTCCAGTCACTCGTGCACGACGGCTACTACGTCCACAGCGCAGTCCAAAACCTCCTTGCGTGATACCACCAAGGTAAATGAATCCCCTCGCCCACCGCAACGGAGATGAGCACAAGCATCGACAGTTCCGCCAACGACTCAACCGATGGAGGGAATGGAGGGATTGGGGATGTGTTATATATATATATATAATATATCTATCTCTATACTATACTTACTATACTACTGAAGTAAAGCAAACAAAGGGCCCGGCGACATGCCTGGTCGCGGGCCCAGTGAAATTCGTGAGAGCGGGTGGTACTAAAGTAAAGCAAACAAAGGGCCCGGCGACATGCCTGGTCGCGGGCCCAGTGAAATTCGTGAGAGCGGGTGGGAACCGGGAGCAGGCGGGAACCGGCCAGCGGGTCTGTTTCGGGGGCGAGGCGGAGGTGGAGGAGTGGAGGCCCGAGGCAAGGGAATAAGGGTGGAAAACACGACAGGACTGGGGCAAGGTAAATCGGCGGCGGCGGTGTGGCGGCGGGCGGACTGAAACCGACGGGCCCACCGCACAGGCCGAACCGAAACTCAAAACTCGGCTGTGGCCGGCGGCAGGAAGTTCTTGCGACGGCGGTCCGTCGGCAGGTGCAAAGCGGGCCTACATCCGGCAGGTAGGACGGTCCATCGGCAGGTGTGAAGCGGGGCCTACGCCTGGTAGGATGTTTGTCATGTTGTTTGGCGGAGGAGGAGCGGGAGGAGGAGCGGGAGCAGCGGGAGCAGCGGGAGCAGCGGGAGGAGCAGGATGAGTGTGCAACGGCAGTCCGTCAGTTGTTTGGCGGAGGAGCGGGAGCACCGGGAGGAGGAGCGGGAGGAGGAGGAGAGGGAGGAGGAGCGGGTGTGACGAACCACTTCCCAAACCCGTGCTATCTTTCGTACCCTTTTTGCTTGTATCATACCAACCCCATAAAACCCCCCGTTTCGGTTTCTTAATTTCTGGTGCCGCATTTTGGGGCCCCATCTTTCGGAAGCTTTTACGACTCCCGGGGTCTGCTTTTCCTTTTTGCAATTCGGGAAATGCACAGGAATTTACACGCGCCTTAGCGAGCACACTGGGAATTGGGCCCAGCAGTTGGGAATGTCGGGATAAGCGGAACTTCGACGTGCCCTTTCTGTGTGTGAATGTTCTCGGTCGCGTTGGGGAAAACTCTCGGAATTTTGTGGGGATACGAATAGGTGTAGGACTTTCTTTTCCCGCGTTGCTCTTTCGCGCACGGATATGGTGATTTCAATTTTGAATTGGTTTAGGACGTAGGCAAGCTCTAACTGTTTCGGTGCCTTTTCTCTTTTTTGTTGACGGCGGCGCGCACGCAAAGCTTTCTCCTCCCTGTCCCCCGCATTGCTTTCTCCTGCACTCCTTTACCCCCCCCCCCCTTTCCTCCTCTTCCTCTCTCCTCGTAACTGTTTTTCTCCCTCTCGCTCTCTCCCGCTCTGCTCTTTGCGCGCCCATTTCCCTTTCTTGATCATCTGAATTTTGGACCCGTCTTGCACTACTTCGCGCGCCTTTTCTCTTCTCGCCCTTCGAAGCAAAGCTTGCGAAGTCCGGTCGATCCTTCGATAACTCCCGCTCGCCAATCAGGTACGTGGATCAATAGGATCTTCCTATTGTGCGACGAATCTGATTGGTTGAACCTTGAGTCTCGAGGGATCAACATGGCTTCCGCGGAGCGCTCTTCTCAAAGTCTTCTCCTTTTGCTTCTCCTCTTACACCTCAACTTTCCCTTCGCTTTCTCCCCCTCCTGTCTCCCTTGTTGCAACTATAAAATCCGCAAGCGCGTCCGCAAAGCTCTCTTACGTTCTCGACTTCTGAGCCAACTTCCGGGAAGCAGTGGCCAGGCAGAGTGTTTGATGCGAGTCGGAAAGTCCTGTCGGACTGTCGATAGGCTGGCCGGTTGCGCGCTTGATCGTCACTACGAACTGTGGGATCCGGGTGAACTGCGTCGAGTTTACGTCAGCGGGGTGACGATCGCAGTGGTGGGAGTTAGCACGCGACGACCGGGATCGTCGGTGCGGGTATGAGGATCGATGATTGAAGTTGAGTGAGCGATTGGTCCGGGGCCATATTGGGATTAACGGCGAATGCGCCTTTGTTGTTGCGGATCTTTATCTCTGGCGTGAGTGTACGGCGGCAACGCCGAACTTCCTCTTTTCGGATCTTGTCATCTTCTATCTTGACATTCCTCCCTCGTCTCCCTCTCTCTCCTCTATCTTTGAATGATGATGTGTCTCGATGTTTGTCTCTCTCTTGGATGGGAATGAATCTGTGTACCTTCCTGTGGGAAATAACTTCTTCTGGAACTCTTCCATTAGTTTCCTGGGTAATCTCCAGATGTCGAGGAATTAATCCTCTTGTCTTGTGAATGGTGGATGCGTGTGTACAATTTCCTCGGTTGATGTCCGACCTGTGTACCCTTGTCATTTTCGCACCTTCCCCAGTCAATGTATGCATGGAAATACTCGCCTTTTTGAATCGATTAGGCGCCGCACTCAACGGATTTTGTTCGAGAATGCAAGAGTGTTTAGATCTGTATTCCTGAATGCACTGCGCATGCCATCTGCCTTATGCTGCATGACATCTGCAGCCGATCTACAGGGCAGCCCCGAGAAATAAGGCGCCTAGGATCACCACCGCGGTGGCTTACGAAAAACTGAGTCGCGGGTCGGTCCTTCACTTACATGCATGATCGAGCTGATGAGTGTTTTCTCTCTCTCTTTCGTGTCGAAAAAGATTGATTGGTGATTACGCGAGTGTTTTCTCTTGATGACGTCTCGAAATTTTTGCAATTGATTGACATGTGGACTGACAAGCACCCCTCGATCGGGCGTCAGCCCCCTGTACCTCCCGTATCAACACGACCTTTTCCCTACAACGAGGAAAGGACACGTGTATGCGAGTGGGACGTACGAGAAGCTGTCGCACAGATCGGGGGACGATATTACTTCCCTCCGGCAAACCGTTGTTCATGATTCGTAGAGGTCGGGTTTGTCATCATCGATACGCACTTTCCACCCTACTCGATATTGCTCCCCTTTAACGAGTTGATAGTCATTCCGTGGATGGCAGTGGCGCCCCATTGGCCTCGAACCCTGTGCACAGAGTGCCAGTGTTTCGATTGCTACGAAGCAAAGGGCTTCCACTACCGAATACGGAGTGAAGACGAGCATAAGGAAAGAGCCACGCGACTGAGACCATCCACGTCAGACTCAGAACTGACCAGCGAGCGACGACGGGACTTAATACGAAAACGAGACACGCGAAGCGTGCCCAAGCCCTTCCGCTCTAAACAACGGGCCGTGGCACGGTGGGAAGCTCGACAATACTTTTTGGATTGAATTTGTATTTCTCTCTCCTCTCCCGCCAAACTTTCACGTGCACATTCAGCGCTGTGCGAAAAACAATCGACTTACTTCGTCGGACCAACACGGGGGATTTCAGTTCCGTCTGTGTCCCCACACTCAATTTCCAAAAATCCTTGGCACACCCCATCTTGCTGTTTTTTCTGGGCCTCTTTCCGCACACCCAGCACTCCGAACGAAAGACAACACAAGGCGTGAGGTTGCGCGTCACGACTTGAAGTTGTCTGGCGGAGGAGGAGAGGGAGGAGCGGGAGCCACGGGAGAAGGAGCGGGGGGGCTCGTCAGGCAGGTACGATCTTTGTCACGTTGTTTGGCAGAGGAGGAGCGGGAGAAGCGAGAGAAGGAGCGGGAGGAGGAGCATGCAACGGCGGTCCATCGGTCGTTTGGCGGAGGAGGAGCAGGGGAAGGAGGGGAAACCTTTTTTTCTTCTTTTTTTTTTCGTAGGAGATGGCTATGGAGGGATCTTTGTCGCGTTGTTTGGCGGAGGAGCGGGAGAACTTGAAGGGGGGGAGCAACGGGAGAAGGAGCGGGAGGAGGAGGTACGGCAGGAGGAGCGAGAGGAGGAGGTGCGACAGGAGGAGCGCCAGGAGGAGCGGGAGAAGGGGCGGGAGAAGGAGCGCGAGGGGAAACAGGAAGGGGCAGAGGAGGTGCGGGAGGAGGGGCGGGAGGAGGAGCAGGAGGAGGAGAGGAAGGGCAAACAGGGAGGGGGTTAACGAACGTGAGGAGGAGCGGGAGGAGCGGGAAAAGGAGGAGGAGGGGAAACGAGAAGGGGCGGAGGAGGCACGGGGGGAGCAGCCTGAGAAGGAGAGGGAGCACGAGCGGGAGAAGGAGCGCGAGGAGCCGCATACATGAGGAGGCGGATCAACGTGCGGCAGGTAGGAGGAGCGGGGGGAGGTACAAGAGGAGGAGAAGCGGCAGGAGCGGGACGAGGAGCGGGAGGAGGAGCGGGAGGAGGAGCGGGAGGAGCGAGAGGAGCGGGAGGAGGAGCGGGAGGATTGGGAGGAGGGACGGGGGAGAGAGCAGGAGAACCAACCGGAGGAGGGGGAGCAAGAGGAGCAGGAGGAGCAGCAGGAGGGGGAGTGGGAGAAGGGGAGGGAGGAGGAGCGAGAGGAGGAGCGAGAGAAGGAGCGGGAGCCTTTTTTTCTTTTTTTTTCGTAGGAGATGGCTACTTGGGGATCTTTGTCATGTTGTTTGGCGGAGGAGCAGGAGAAGGAGCGGGAGCAGCGGAAGGAGGAGCTGGAGGAGGAGTGGGAGTGGGAGGGGGAGGAAGAGTGGGAGGAGGAGTGGGAGGAGGAGCGGGAGAAGGAGCAGGACGGAGAACGGGAAGGGGTGGAGGAGCCGCAGGAGGAGGAGCAGGAGCCTTTTTTCTTTTTTTTTCGTGGGAGATGGCTATGGCGAGATCTTTGTCACGTTGTTTGGCGGAGGAGGAGCGGAAAAAGGAGTGGGAGCAGCGGGCAGAGTGGGAGGAGGCGCGGGCGGAGGAGCAGGAGGACGGCAGGAGGAGCGGCGGGAGAAGCGGCAGGAGGGGCTGGAGAAGGAGTGTCAGGAGAAACGGGAAGGGGCGGAGAAGGCGCGGGAGAAGGAGCGGGCATTCTGTTGCTGTCTCTCGAGAGGAAGGATGACGGTGGTGACGAGACACGGGAGGGGGAGGGAAATGGTGACGATGATTAGAGCGTTGACGAGGAGCAACTCAAGGGAACTATTTTATTTTATTTTTTACTTTTCGATGATGGTCAGGACGATGATGATGATGATGATGGTCATCATTGCAGCAATGATGACCAGTGAGAAGCGTGGGGAAGGGGTAGGAGGAGAAAATTGCAAAACAGAGGGGCTGGGAGAAGAATCGTCATGATAATCCTGATGGTGGGGACAAGACATAAGAATGGGAGGAGGGATGATGGTAGGTACAAGACACGGGAAGGGCGATCATGATCCAAATGAGGATGGGTTTGGGAGATGATGGTGTGGATAGAGGCACAGAGGAGGGGACCATGAACTGCAGCACTGATCATGATGATCACACTACATGACGGGAGGGGACGAGAAGCATCATACATGGACGAGGATAATGACGATGGTATGGAACGGGAGATGAGCATATTCGACCCGAAGAATAGGCGAAGAAAGTAGCAGTAGTGTTGATCAGTTCGATCATGTTCTTTTTTTTTGTTTTACTTTGATGATCATATTTATAAACAACAAAGTAACAAATTGCCAACCGTCTTCACCCGAATAGAACACCCAGTCATTATAGTTGTATTCGGCACAACATTCGGCCTGCATACCGCCATGGCGACTGGGCCTTTTATTCAAGTGCATACGGTGGGCTACCGTCCTTTTTTTTTTCTTCGTTTTTTTGGGATACTGTTCATCCCGTCGTTTTTAAATGAAGAGTTTTCGGTGCTATTATTTTCCCCCGCAGAGAGCATGCCGTTTTCTTTATCTGATGAATTATAATACATCAGTTAAAAATAATAAAAATTTAAAGCGAAAAGTACAACCAATTGCCCAGCGGCCACTCCCACCCTTTCCAACATACAGGGCAGATCTCATTTAGAATGTTGTCACACATCTCCAAGCTCAAGGCCCTCCGCAAAGGTGACAGACTGTCTCCAATCTCAAAACACTCCAGAAGATCACAGCAATGCATCCAAACTCAAAGACGACAGAGCACACATGCTATGAACAGCCTTCAGAGACATGCCTCCAACCTCAAGGCACTCCGCCAACGCAAACACGACAAGTTGTCTTTCCAGTTCGACATCACTTTTGACTACCAAATGAATAAATGTGTGTGGCATTGTATGTGGTGAAGTGCACCCGCACAAAGAGAGAGAAAAAAATAGATAAAAGATAGATAGATAGACATATAGATAGATAGATAGATAGATAGATAGATAGATAGATAGAGATAGATAGAGAGAGAGAGAGAGAGAGAGAGAGAGAGAGAGAGAGAGAGAGAGAGAGNGATAGATAGATAGATAGATAGAGATAGATAGAGAGAGAGAGAGAGAGAGAGAGAGAGAGAGAGAGAGAGAGAGAGAGAGAGAGAGAGAGAGAGAGAGAGAGAGAGATGGGAAGGATATGCAAGGTTGTCATTATCGCATCATATGTGAAACAAAAAATCATTTTTCACCCTCCGGTGCTTGCTGCCTGCTTCTTTTCCCTTTCGCCTCTCGTCCCCTTCTGTGCTCCGGCCCTATTCCTCTGTCGTGGCGTCGCCACAGCGGGTCCACTTGTACATATACATATATATATCGTCACAAACAGAACTGGCCGGTAAACCGTAGGCAGAGAGAGAGAAGAGGACAACAAACGAGGGGTTGTGACAAGTATATAGAAATAGAGCCTCGCTGCACTACTCTAGACTCTCGAAATATTTCGAGAGTTCAACTAGCATTGTCAGAGAGGCAAGACTCTCGAAACGAAATACACGCCTTCGCGGCACTTAAAAGCTCGCCACACAGGCTGTCGAATGTCGAAAATTTTCGACAGGTCTCATAACATTTTCGACAGTCAGGCGGTTAATGGTTTTCCCCCTCTTCGCCACATAGAGGCTCGCCACACAGGCTGTGGAGTGTCAAAAATTTTCGATAGGTGTTAGAAAATTTTCGACAGTCGAGAGGTCGACAGTTTTCCCCCTCTTCGCCACATAGGGCTTCACCGCACCACTGTTGAAAATGCAATTTTTGACAGTTCCTCCTCGCCACACAGATTGTCGAAGTCGAAGACGAGAAAAAAATTTGCAAGTTGTTAGAGAATACTTCTCGATACCTCCTGTCAAAAGTCGTTGAATCCCCAGCCTGCTACTCCAATGCTTTCAACAGTCCTCGGCTGCGTCATCGACTTCGCTTCGAAATTTGGTGAGTGGGGGTAAGGTCGGATGGACTGATGCTTGTCGTACCCTTAGGCGCGTTCGTCTTTTTCCATCTTGCTTTCACAAGTGCGTGCACTCTACAGTGTTGTGTGGCGAAAGGGGGGCAAATTGTCGAACGGAGGCTGTCGAATTTGTTATGACAACCGTCAAATTTTTTGGCCTTTCGACTGTGGTGTGGCGAGGCCCATAGGCTGTCGAGGGGCAAGGTTTTTGGTCATGGCCAAGCGGACGGGTGTCACGGAACAGTCCCTGACAACGCAAATTCGAACCTGACAACGCAAATGTGAACGCAATTTTCGAAAGGTCGGCGGGCCACTTTCAAATTTTCGTCACCTGCAGGTTGGTGGAAACAATTGTTGGAGGGCGGCTGTCGAAAGGACCATTCTGATACCCGTCGAAAGTTTTTTGAGCTGCAATTCTTCGAAAGTCTGTGTTGCGATGCAAAATTGTCGAAAATCGGGTTTTCGACAACCTGTGTGGCGAGCCTCTAAACTACACGGGGATTGATGTTCGGAGGTCCTGACGGCCCCAAATCCAAAATGATCATAGAATCTGATAAGATGACAAATACAATGTTGACTTAGAGATTTCCATAGAACAATTGCCCTGGCCTCAGGGCCCCAGCACTGAGGGAATATGAGGTGGGTGGGAGCCTGAAGAAAAACACGTTTCGCCGTGCGAAACAGTGGAAAAATCTCAAAGTCCGGTACTCATAGCTTGTCGCTCACCAGTGCAGGAACATGCCACTCAGCTCAGCGTGCGCGGCAAGCGGAGAAATGGAAAATCAAAGCGTGATGAGTGCTCTTGGCTATTATCCATTTATAGCAAAGAGTACTCATCCGGAGATAGTCCCATCGGAGTTGGCTCCACTTTTGGGCCCTATCCAAGAACCCAGGTGAGACCTCTGATCCTAAACTGCAGATTGGGATGCTGAAGTGCCTCCAAAAAACTCAGCCAATTAGAATCTTTGCCCTACGCCTCTTAATGATGTTCGGAGGTCCTGACGACCCCTAATCCAAAATGATCATAGAATCTGATAAGATGACAAATACAATGCTGACTTAGAGATTTCCATAGAACAATTGCCCTGACCTCAGGGCCCAACACCTCCTAACCAGCCCGAAGTTCACCACCCTTCATGCATTAGATGACTGAAATTAAATGAGAATGAAATTCGAAATAGTAATGAAGTCGAATGATTGCAGGTTGTGGTAGCTGGAGCGACTCTTGGGCCGGAGCGTACAAAAAACCTTACATTGTCAAGCTGATCTTCTTCCCAGTGTCTCCTATGAAGATGGTCTCCAGAAGAGTGTTGAGTTGATAAGTACTCATGGCATGAGTAACACAGTAGATAAGGAGAGGGGTCGCCTTCTATGGTGTTTAAGTCAATGATTGAATCAGCAGGGGGTTGAAAGAAACTTAAACAATTGTGTTGACTTAGATATTTGATCCTTTGTTGAAGGGTGTTTAATACCAGATCTGCAAAGTCGATCTCAAACTGTAGATGGAAGTGGAAATAGGTTTGTATCAGTCAGTACATTACAAGGAAATTTTAGTAACCTTAATAAATGTTTTGAACTTCTAGGTCGAGAAGGGAACAACAATCCTTGTCAATCGGCTAAGGTCCAAATGTATCGACGAGCTTATCGAAATAAGGCAGTGCACCTAGGTGTTCATGAGGAGCAAGCTTCGCCAATGACTCATGAGAAAATGACCCAACTACGGAAATGCATCCGCTCCTTCATGAAAATTCGGAAAGGATGGGAATATGTTGAGTCTCTTCGGGATCTCTGTATAATGACCTATCTCTGGGAGAGTTGGCAACGTGGTGGCGAAGGTCTTCGATTGGAGAGTAGTGATATTGACACAACCACTCGGATGGCTCAGCCTCGTTATACGAAAACCCAACGGAGAGGAAAATCTGTGGTAATAAACCTTGAGAAACTCTCCGGTGTAGGAGATACCTTCCTGGAACTGTTCCAGGAGATGTGCGGAAGTTACAGTGAGCTTGGTGAGGACCTTCGGACTGGCTCCATCTTCTGGAGTCGTCGGTCCCAACGAGCCTTGACCTTGAATGCCTTCAATCGACGCCTGAGAACCTGGTTTGAGCGAGCCGGCTTGGAAGGATTGAGTACCAGCCATAGTTTCCGAGTAGGAGGTGTCCGTGAGGGGATCTGCCGAGGATGGACCCTAGAGCAAATGTTGGCTCAAGGTTCCTGGAAGAGTTTCTCTTGCTTCGTTCGATATGGTTATGGTTGTCATACAAGGGGAGTTAGTCGGCAGCGAGACCCGTTTGGCCAATAGCTTGAAAGTTCCAACATTGAGCGTACCCTTGGGTACTCTAGAACTGGGGGTACAAGAGGAAGGCTTACTGGGGATTTCCATAGTCCCGGAGCAGCGTATTGCATCGACCATGGGGGACCAGACCGCTCTTGGCGCCGTGGGGGTGATGAGTAAGTATCATCCACATCATTGCAATCCTTGCACCAAATTCAAAGACGAAGCAGTTACAGACATGGTGAGTTTGTAATGCAAACAAATCAGCTGAGGGCACTCCAAATTTACTAAAAATATGGGAGATTAGATAAGGGGTAAGACCCCAATCGGTGGGATCCTTCCACTTTGAGAGTGAGTCGGCATCTGCATTTAAGGTGCGAGGTACCCAGATAGGTTTTATTTGTCCTTGGGTTTCCAAGAGAATGATTGCTATTTTTCTGAGGAGGGAATTTATTCTGGCGTCGTGAGACTTCCGGTTCTTGAGTAGAGCGACAACTCCTGCATTGTCACCAACGACCTTGACCGAAACCTCATTGGAAGGAAGAGAAAAATGCTTTTGGATAAAAGAGAGGGTGTATAGTACACCGAAAAGTTCTCTGTGAGTACTGGAGGTTCCCAACCATTCATCTGGAAGGGGAATACTCAATTTTTCCCTCTTTCCTTGGTTGGAATGGATGACCGCACCTATGGCATGATCTGAAGCATCGGTTTGGATGGTTAGTTCAATTGGCTTTATTGTCCAACTTCTTCCTTTGATTCTGAGTATGTTAGTCAGCCACCAAATTAGATCACTACGGACCTCTTTTGGAAGAGGCAAGGTAGTATCCCAGGCGTTTGGGTTGATGGTTTGGTGAAGGTGAAAGCAAAAGGTCATTGCTGGTGAAAAGGCGATGGTAAATGTGGAAGAAATTTCCCTGCTTGTGACTGTTGACTTGGTTAGCATAGACTGAATAGTCTTGCAAATTCTCAAGGCTTTCTCCTCGGGAATTGCGGTCAGCTTGCAGTGGGAATTAATATTGAACCCAAGGAACTTCACGCATTGTGATGGAAGAAAAGAGTATTTGTTTAAAC